CTCACGTTCAGCTTATCCTTCATCACTGCAGACTGGAACAACACTCAGACATTTGGACTCCTGGTTCTTGAACTCTAAATCACGTTGTGCATTTTGTAAACTAATGTTTTAAATTTATTCCGGGAGAACTTCAAATTGATTCACGTGAGGACTTGGTGTGAGGAAACATCTAACCTGGCATCAGAAACCGATCGGAGCGACAGTGTCCCCCCTGCTTCTGTCCTTTATGTGACCGGAGCGTCTGCGTCTTGGGGGTTACGGTGAGGCTGCAGGAACCAACAAAGAGGCGTCTGAGCCGGGCTCGGGTCTGAGCGTACAGCTGTCGGTTCTGCTAACGTGATTAACCCTCAGACTTACGGGGCGACTTCTGCCCCATCAACACAACATGAACTCTGTTCCTGTCAGCTGTACACAGCGTCACTACTTCCTGTCCGTCGCTCTGCATCGCTCACTTCCTCTGGACCCCCGCCTGTCTGCAGACCTAATTTAATTTAATGATCCCAAAACGCAACGTCCCAATTAAAGACTCGGAGTCGGAACAAAAAGAGAGAATGTGACTGATCAGTGGACTTCGTGCTGCGTTCAGGGACACTTCGAGCTGGCTGTTCTAGAGTTATCGCCCAAAGAAAGGTGAAGATCAATAATCAATGATTAGAGGCCTGTCGTGCTGATGCTACTGTTAGCTTGTTAGCTCCTGATGCTTCAGATCAACCCCCAGGTGAGGTGACTGAAACAGAACCACGGGACACTTTTAATTCTGAGCTTTTATTTCAACAGACTGTGGGTGTCGGGCCGTCGGCACAAATTCAGTTTTTGTAATCTGACAGGAAGCTGAGCTCACCCCAAACCAACTTTCCACTTTATAATCCTTTCAAAATAAAACATGACGGCAGAAATGGATGCTCAGAGTGATCTCTCGTTAATTTACAGTTTTTCCAGAGGTGGGGGGGGCAGTAGGTGTTGTTGAGAACGGCCCCGTTAGGAGACAAGTTCAAGGGTCACTCACTACCAGGTGACCGTTAAAAAAACACAAACATTTAGATTTCATTTGAACTCATCACCTCCACTCCTGATGACAACATTACTAATGATCTGATGAAAGCAGAGCTGTTTACCCATAATGCACTGCAGCAAACTGCTGCTGTCCACATGGTGGTGGCCTTCTAATGGTTTGGGCTCCTTGGTTCGTTTCTGCTCCTTCAGTAAATTAAATTTGGACCTTTGTGTGCAGCTGCTGACCTGCGTGGCCTCCTGCAGCAGATCCAGCCTGCGAGGAGTCTCCCTGAATGCTCCTCTGTTTCAGGAAGGAGGACTCCTGTCCAGACCTCTGCAGGACTGAGACAAACCATCTCAGACATCCAGATGTCTCCTCGAGGCTGTCTGCTGGACAACCAAGTCAAATAAACAATAATTAAATTTCTCTGATGCTGCGACGGATCTGATCTTCTGTAAAAGTGAAAGGAGGAAACAACGTGTTCTGTGGAGTCTTCACATCCATCCAGATGATGGTCCAGGAAGTAAACAGGCTGATTTCAACAAATAAACAGAACTGGAGCCAATCAGAGCAGAGCAGGGCGGGGCCTGATGACACGGCAGGGGGTTCCCTGGACTCAAGGAGGACACCCCTAACCAAGTACATTGATACTGTGTACTTTTACTGAGGTCATGTACTCGGTGAGCTGTGTACTTTTACTGAGGTCATGTACTCGGTGAGCTGTGTACTTTTACTGAGGTCATGTACTCGGTGAGCTGTGTGCAGGTCGAAGCTCTTGAACGTGTTGTTTTTGGTGCTGGTGCTTCAGAAGATTAGGTCCAGTGTGGGTCTGTGTCCTCAACACACTGCGAGTGTCTCTAAAGTCTGATGAAGAGGAGAACGAGGAAGGTCCACTCGGAAACTCCCAGACATCCACAAGATGGCCGACTGAGAACATTTGTGTACAGTAAACTCTGTATAAAGTGCAGTTTATTAATTAAGTTACATTTTTCTTGAGCTTTGTTGTGGACAGCTGGGACAATGTCCTCGTCTCTGTCCCTGCTCTGGGTCTGAGTCCAGCCTGGAGACCAGAGACACAACGCTGACATCTGCTGAAGAAGCTGTTAGCAGCTAACATTAGCTGAAGTTTGAACAACAGCAGAACCTTTACAGTGTGCAGTCCTGTGGGGGGCGGGGTTAATCCAGATTACAGCTCTGGAGGCTCATTTTGTAAACAACATGGAGAACGTTTCAGAACCATCAGGTTGGGTTCTGTTTGGAGCGAGTCTTTGTCTGTGGCTTTGACGACTACATTTGGTTTGTCAGAGCTCTGAGGAGGTGCGAGGAGATGATCCGGCGGCACAGCGGGGGAGCGGACGCTGACGGAGGCGTGGTGGGGAAGGCCGTGGAGAACTGCATGAGAGCCATCATCGGAGTCCTGCTCAACCTGACGCACGACAACGGTGACGACAAAAACACATTCACACTGCAGGCAGGTCGCACCGCGTCCCTCTGCTCACATGACCGCGTGTGTGTGTGTGTGTGTGTGTGTTCACAGAGTGGGGCAGCACGAAGACGGGCGAGCAGGACGATTTACTGGTGACGGCTCTGAACTGCGTCCTTAAAGTTCCTCAGTTCCTCCGTCAGGAGCAGAGGTTCGACATCAGGGTTCTGGTGCGCATCGCTTCACGTCACCGACACAGCCGGAGGTTTGAGTCCGCATCATCTGAGTCTAACAGCCTGTGTGTGTTGGGGGGTCCAGGGTCTGGGTCTGCTCATCAACCTGGTGGAGTACAGTGCCAGGAACCGCTACGGTCTGATGGAGATGGAGATGGAGATGGAGGGGTGTCAGGGTCCCTACGACTCCACAGTCCTGCTCAGTCCGGAGCACCAGGACCTGCCCGGCGCCGGCAGCGGCCCTCTGAGCGCCATCGCTGCTCTCGTTCAGGTATCAACTCTGTTCTGACGTTTGGGTCGGACCTCCGGTCCTGCAGGCGTCCATCATCCTTATTGAGTGAGGACTAGGGCTGGGCGATGTCTCGATATTTTAAAGATATCGAGATGATTTCATTTGTGATATAAGATGAGACCATATGGATATAAACGATATACGTAGTGTTGTAGTTGAAAATCCACTGCTGTCCTCTCTGTCCCCCACACGGCCCCTCACCTGCTGCCTGCCTCCAGGTGGAGCGGCACCGCCGGCACCTACAGCCGCAGTTAGTCCCAACACGGAGAGAGAGCAGAGCAGCTGGTGAGCAGGAAAAATAAAAGATGGCTCTGTTATTTGGAGATGGTTCAGATTAAATTTGTCAGTTGAGCAGCAGAAAAATGTTTTCTGTAGACAAAGCTGAAAATAAATCCTGACAAGAGGTTCGAGCACAACGAACCTTTTCACCGATTAAAACAGTGGAGTGTGAAGAGCGTGTTAAACGTTGTGCAGCTCCGGCTGTGAAGCCTCTTTCCCTGAGACAAACAATGTATGAAACTCTCTTACCTGTGCTGTGCCTTATGACAGGTGACGTGAATAAAACAGCAGCTCATCAAATCACTGAAGACACGGTCCTTAGCAGCTAACAGGGCGACTCTTAGCTGCTAAGGACCGTGTCTTCAGTGATTTGATCAGCTGCTGTTTTATTAATGTGGTGCTGCCTCCTCTCACTGGTAAGGCTGCAGTATAGTCGGGCGTACATCAGACCGCAGAGGTCCACGCGTACCGGATTAGAATCGAAGCGGACGCCTGCAGGGCATGTCTGTGCACAGCTCCAATTTTTCATTCGACCTTTATTTAGACAGATAAGTCACATTGAGCCTAGAATACTCATTTACAAGTGAGACCTGTTTGGACAAAAAGTAGTGAAACTGGACACATGTAGGAACTGGAGGTGGAAAAAATTTGTATCAGACTTTTTTTCTTCCTGCCTGAGAAGAAAAACTCTATTAAAAAACACCTCGCACAAACAAGCACATAGTGATGTAGACATTCTGCAGAGGGGGGGACGATGAGAGCTGTGAGCATGCTCATAGACGCTCTCGAGGGCACTGTAAGAGTTCTGATAAGGATGGAATAATCAGTCCATGTCCTCCGGTGAGATCCATAAACATTCTCGAGGGATGTCGAGGAATGGCCAAGAATAACGTCTATGAGAATCCAAGAGTCCTGAAATGATGACACAATGTTTTTTCAGCTGGTTTCATCTGGTTATCAGTTGGAAATTCTTAGGGGTGGTGAGCGTTGGATCACATGTTCTCCAGGTGAATTCAGATAAGATGACCTTCAAGGCCAGCCGAGGGAGCCAAATTCAGATAAACACACAGTTGTTTTGGGGACAGGCAGAACTTAATGTCATCTACCTTGAGTCTGTGTTGGTCCACTCGGTTCCGAAATGTCCAAATTACATGATCACACTTATGGAATGTGACTGAGTAAATTCCCCAAGATCTGATCCATTCAGCCCAAAGCTTTTGAGTCTGGGTACTCGAGGCACGAACCAAGTCATCATAAAGACAAGCAGCGTGATCGGTTCCAAATTTGCTGCTGATGACTTCCTTGATTGTAGATAAATCCAGCAACCAGCCAAATCCAAAAAGCAGGAACCAGTTATCGTAAATCCAATTAAATATGTGTCCTTAAAATCCACAGATGGCAGCAGAGATAGACACATCATCAAGTCTTCCAGTCGATGAGTTATCCAGCTGTGTGCGTGCCAACAGGGCAGATCAGCTCGCCCAAAGCCTGTCTTCTCTTCAAGAAATGTTGTAAATTGAGTTGAGGGACCAACTGATCAAAACAAGTCCATAGTTATGGTTCAGAAGAAATGTAGAGAGGCTCAGAAGCAGTTTCACAGACAGACAGAGCAGCAAAGCGGAGAGGGAGGGGAGAAGCGTCTGACCTCGACAAGAGCAAATAGTGAAGTTATTTACGAACGCGTACTCTGTGTCGCACAATAAACTGCCCAGCGACGGACTGTTTTGTTTGTGACACCAAAGTATTAAATTCCCTTCTTCATCCCTGATCTGGCCTTTTCTTTCGTTTTTTGCCAAGAGGCAGTGATCTCTTCCTCCTCCATTGATGCCATGACTGAAATGGTGAGAAATGAAGGAATTTGTCACGAGAGAATTAAACTCGGGTCCAGCGTGGCTGCAGGAGGGTCTGGAGATTTCCTGGTGGGCTGGTCAGATGTGTGGGCTGCAGGACCAGCGCTCCCTGTTTATTTATTTTTTTAGAACTTTTTATTAACAACATATAAACACAGAACACCGCTGCAGCTGGAGATGCCAGCTCTCGTTTTTTAATTAATTTTTCCAACCTGTCAATCAATCCAGTAGGCGTGTCAGCAGATGACCATTTGGCGACCTCTATTTGTCCCCAAGGTAAACGCCCCTTGCCTGCGGAGCTGCTCTGCAGCAGCTCAGGTTGTACGCTCAAGTATGAAGTCTGAACCCTCTACAGACAGTGCACGTCCAGTCCACGCGGAAAAAGGTCTGCACGAGTATACTGGAGCCTTTAGATTTGAAAATCTGTAGTTCTTTATCTGCCCGTCTGCAGCCAGCAGCCCCTCGCCGCCTCCTCCTCCTCCTCCTCCTCCTCCTCCTCCTCCTTCCCTGGCTAAATACAAGCAGCCTCTCACTGCTGCAGTTTACTAACACAGTGAAGGCGGTGCAGCTGGGGAGGATTTTTATCCAATATACGTAAATATGTAAAACACAAACTTTAATGTAAACAGTTTATTTTTAAGACATTTATTTTGTACAGAATAAATGTGGCTGTGTGACAACTGGGACAAAACTTTGACTCTGAAATATATTTTTGTTATTACTTTATGGAAAGAAAGAAATATTGAGATAGCGTATATTGCAATTTCTTAAAAATATCGAGATATTCATTTTGGTCCATATCGCCCAGCCCTAGTGAGGACAGAAGTTTAAACTCAGTTTTCTGAAGACAACCTTCAGAGGAATCGTCTGAATCAATCATTTTCTTCTGAGATGAACTCATTTCAAGTCAAACAGAAGAATTCAGATCCTGTTGAGGAAACTCTGATGTAGAGAGGTCAAAGTTTAGAAAACGGTTCTCCGTCGTCTTCAGCTCTTCCTGCAGCGGGAGCGAGCCGCCGTCCTGGCAGAGGCGCAGACTGATGACCTCATCAAAGAACCTCCCAAGGCGGCGCTGGACCAGAGCGGACAGTGGCAAGAGACCGGCGGTGAGATCCAGTGGGTCGCCAACGACGAGACGGATAAACCGGACGAAGCCAAGAAGAAGGAGGAGGAAGAGGACGAGCAGCTGGACCTGAACAAAGGTACCACAGAACTTCCGCCGATGGTAGATCGTTTTGAATTCAAACTAAAGAATCTCTTCTTCTTCTTCCTGTCAGCTCTGCAGCACGCAGGGAAGCACATGGAGGACAGCATCGTGGCGTCGTACACCGCCCTGCTGCTGGGCTGCCTGTGTCAGGGGAGCTCCGTGAGTCCTTCAACAACCTTCTGATCTTAGTCCTGTTCTGCAGAGTCTGACCTTCTCCTGTCTCCATCAGATCAATGTGACTACTGTGAGAGAAAACCTGCCAAAAGGAGACTTCTCCATCATGACAGAGATGCTGAAGAAGTTCCTGAACTTCATGAACCTCACTGTGAGTATTCATGTGAAACCGGGCCGTGTCCGGTGATTTGAGTCAGAAACTATTTTTTTATTGAAATGGTCAAAAATTTAGTTTCAGTTATTGACAGGATGAAAAGATTAAACAACATTATCCATTATCTTTACCCGCTTCTTCCATTTTGGGTCACGGGGGTCGCTGGTGCCCATGTCCAGCAATCACTGTGCGAGGGGCGGGGGACACCCTGGACAGGTCTCCAGTCCATCACAGGGACACATAGAGACAAACGAGACAAACAACCATTCACTCTCTCACTCACACCTAGAGACAATTTAGAGGTACCAATCAGCCTAACATGCATGTTTTTGGTCTGTGGGAGGAAACTGGAGTACCCGGAGAAAACCCACGCATGCACGGAGAGAACATGCAAACTCCACCCAGAAAGGCCCCTGGACCGGGATTTGAACCAGGGACCTGCTCGCTGAGAGGCAGCAGCTCTACCAGTTGCGCCACCGTGCTGCTCTAAATTAAACAACAATGTAAACAAATAGAACATTTGTGTAAACAATAATTTTAGGTTATTTACTTTATCAAATCTTTTGCATCATTTTACATTTATACCAAAAATAAGAACAAACATAGAAGTGCATAAAATTCTGTAACTGAAGTTGCCAGTATTAGGTTAGTGTAGCCGCCTGGCTTTTTCTAAAATAAAAAAAAGAGTCTAGGAACTATAATCCATCCATCCATTCATCCATCCACTCACTTCTTCCTTTTCGGGTCACGGGGGTCACTGGTGCCCATGTCCAGCAGTCACTGTGTGAGAGGTGGGGGACACCCTGGACAGGTCTCAGGTCCATCACAGACAAATAATTCAAAATATAAATACAAAAGTAAACAAGACTTCAGCCTACCATAGTACGTTAACCTTTAACTCAAAATAAAATACAGACTTCACAGTTTTTTTTACCATATAGCCACTTGTGGCTATTAATGGATATTATGGCTTGCCATAGGACCATGTGAAGCCCGTCTTTGGGCGTAACCACAAATGTGTTTTCTGCGTGCTGCAAGATGCAGCACTGGCGTTGTCTGTAACGTTACACGTGACCAGGTCTCTTGTAAACGAGTCCCCGAGGCTCAATGTAGAAATAAAGGTTGGATGAAAACGTTACAACCGATCACAGAAAGACGAGACATATTTTGATACTTAGTACTACTGAAGCATTTCAGTCGGTGCCATAAAAGGACCAACGTTCGATACTCAGCCCTACTTGGGGAATTAGCTGGAAGTTTTTTTGCTGGTCTTTCGCTTTTGATCTTCCTTCCGCGCATTTGTCTTATTTGGGGGAGTGGTGGCGCAGAGGTTAGAGAGGTGGGCCTGTGATCCGAAGATCGCCGTTCACGCCCCGGCCCCGACAACATCAAAAAATTGTGGGTGGGGTAGGTGAAACACCCACACTTGCCCCCACCCTCATTTGCCCCACTCTGGGCCCATGAGCAAGGCCCTTAACCCCCACCATGTGCTCCCTAAACAGGTCTCTCTTGAAAATGAGTTCTCGTGGCTCAATGAGACTAACCTGGATAAATAAAGGCTAAATGAAAAAAAAAATAATAATTTACAAAATACTGTACCACATTTTTGGCAGCACGGTGGCGCAACTGGTAGAGCTGCTGCCTCTCAGCGAGCTGGTCCCTGGTTCAAACCCCGGTCCAGGGGCCTTTCTGGGTGGAGTTTGCATGTTCTCTCCGTGCATGCGTGGGTTTTCTCCGGGTACTCCAGTTTCCTCCCACAGACCAAAAACATGCATGTTAGGCTGATTGGTAACTCTAAATTGTCCCTAGGTGTGAGTGAGAGAGTGAATGGTTGTTTGTCTCGCTTGTCTCTATGTGTCCCTGTGATGGACTGGAGACCTGTCCAGGGTGTCCCCCGCCCCTCACACAGTGATTGCTGGACATGGGCACCAGCGACCCCTGTGACCCAAAATAGAATAAGCGGATAATGGATGGATGGATGAATGGATGGATGGATGGATGGATGTACCACATTACACTTCTGTTGACGGGTGAGGGAAACACTGAGGGGAATGAGTCGAATTATCAAACAAATAATTCAATGTGACAAACTGAGAAAAGCTTCAGGTCAAAATAAAATAATTCATTAATAAACTCATTAGTTCATAAACAAAGTCGTGAATAAAATCATTAAACTCATTAGTTCATAAAGTCATGAATAAAATAATTCAATAATTAACTAATTTGTTCATAAATGAAATCATGTATAAAATTATTCATTAATAAACTCATTAGTTCATAAATAATTCATTAATAAACTCATTCGTTCATAAATTCATGAATAAAATAATCCCATTAATAAGCTCAGTTCATAAATGAAGTTGTGAATAAATAATTCATTAATAAAGTAAATGGTTAATAAACAAAGTCATTAATTAAATAATTAATAAACTCATTAGTT